TTTTTAACCCGAAATTGCCGGAAAACGATATCGAAAAGGGTTTATTTTTTTTTTGAAGTGCTATGGCCTTTCGCATGTCTTGCCCGCCTCATCGAGGCTCGCACAAAGTAAACACCCCAAGGGCGCAGAACACCAAAAGACTAACATCCCTTCAAGCCTCACTCACTGGCGGGTTCAGCAGGCGGAGAAGCAAGTAGAAGACGCCGAAATCTCGCCAGTAACCACACGCAGAAGGCAACGTCCCAGCCACAGCAGCTGCAGGACCCACATCCTCAGGTAGCGCAGAATCATCACCAGGAACGGTACAAGAACCATCCAACCCCACCGCATCAGGTGGTACAGCATCAGCGCCGCCTGGAAGAACAGGATTGCCGTCACCAAGGGTCTGAGCGCCAGGAGGTAGTACACCAGAAGCAGCAGCGTCAACTAGACCCTGAGAACCGGCAGGTAGCACCCCGGAGTCAGTAGGGCCTCCAGACCTCACGCCGGGGTCTCGGCCAGAAGCAGCATTTCTAGAGACACCCCCAGCAGCTCGCGCGGACGTCCCAGCACTGTCACCAGTTCCAGCAACGTAGGCGCCACCAACGTGAGGAAGGAGTCCGACGCCAACACCAACATCAGCAGGGGGTAGTTCAGAAGCGGCGTCTTGAGGGGCACCACGAGCAGCGTGCGCAGGTAGTCCCGGAAGTAGTGCAGGAGCAGCGTCTCCACGAACATCACGACCAGCGTGCACCGGTAGTACAGGCACAGGTGCGGTACTGCAGGTACGTCGTCAGCGAAGAGCGCCACCTAGGAGGAGCGTCACCAGGCACAACAGGAGTAGGTGTAACGTCCCCAAGAGGACCAGGAACCACAATGGGCCTCCAGGTAGAAGCAGGCGGACGAGCAGAGGAGCCGGCACTGACATCCCCAGGAAGAGCCACACCTTCTGCAACCATGGACGCCCCAGTTTCGCGGGTACTTAACAGGCGACCTGCTCCGAGACCTGCTGCCTCTCGGAACATCCCTTGTGCCTCGTCCTCTGGGTCCACTTAGTTCAAGCGGGAGTGGCACGTTCTGCGACGGGCCAGCAGCAGGACATCCCGACATCTCAAGAACACCACTGCACATCTCCAAGTTAAACGCCAAGAGGAACATGTACCTGTACTCACTGAGCCAGGATGCAACCCTCGACCTTAATGCCCCATAGGGCGGCACTCTCTGTGCCGGCCACGCACGCATGTGCTGGGAGGGCTGACAACGGTCTCGAAGCACCCCTTCCAGTAGTTCACAGCAACGGCGAGCATCCCTTGTAGCGCCGAGAAGCACAGAGATGCCCCATCTGTATTCGGGACCATCCCCGAAGTTTTCATGGTTGGACAACCCCTGGAGTAGATCCCTGAGCTGCCTTCTCACACGATCGTCCACACCCCTTTCGGCAAGGAGCTGTTCCTCGGCTTGGGTAAGTTGCATCAAACTCGTCCCATCTTCAACGTCACCATCGGCGTCAAAGTCATCAACGGTGTCGTCCACAAGGTTGGGCGGAGAAGCATGACTGCTGGACGCCCCACTGTCCAAGGTTGGATGGACTTCGGTATCACGTGCCTGTCGAGCTTGTTCCACCATTGCACGAGCACGCTCACGGGCAACACGAAGTGCGTCAGCCGCAGTGCCATGTTGCAGCATCCCACCAGCCACCGCGCGATCACCCCCGAGGTCAGCAGCTGAGCACCATGCTTCTTGGAGGCCTCGCTGAATGAGAGAGCAATGAAAGTTGCTGAGTTGCCGTTGGAAACCTCCCAGTCCCACGCAGAGACGTCCACGGGCGCCAGTCTCGGCCGGCCTAGCTTCTTGCACACCCCTGACTCGTTGTAAGAGGATAGCTCCACCATGATGTCGGCGAGAATGGTAGCATGGGTGTACGTCCCAAGAGCCCAGGCGGCATGAGTAATGTCTGCCTCCCCCACGAACAACAAGATCTCGTTCAAGTCCTCGACCATGCCAACATCCCATCCTGCCTCCAGAAGAGCAGTTCTTTCTTCGTCGCGAAGTCCCCAGTTGTTGTTCACCCCCGGCGCCGGGCTGCCAGGTGCAGAGCTTCCAGCAGCCTCTTGTTCCTGGTCTCCGCCACGAGCTGGTCCTCCCATGTTGGTCTGCATCATGGCGACTGTTTCCTCATTCTCCATCTCAGCAGAGGTGGCGTCCAACAATGTAGAAGCCACCCCATCAGTACGCGAGCGCGTAGTAGGCGAGCTGGTTGTAGTGGAGGACGAAGAGGAAGTAGCCACCCCGGTGGTTGTTGTGGTGGTTACTGCATCCCAGCATCTTCGGTGGCAGTCAAGGTCAGGTAGGCCATGTTGTGACCAGTCAACCACCAGTTCAGCATCCCAAAGGACTGCAGAGTCACTGCCCTCCACGGTTTGCTGCTGCCATTCCTCCCAGTCGTTCCATTGCTTCATGGTCCACCAAGGAGAAGACACTGTCGTAGGTCCTTCGCGGCTCCGGACTTGGTGCTGTGTAGAAGAGGAGGGGGTAGACGTCCCTACTGTTGGATCTCGCTGTCGTCCCGGATCACGATGTGGATCTAGATGACCTTGTTGGAGAGCTCTCCTGGCATTCTCACGAGCTTCCTGATCATAGTCACGTCCCTCTTGCAGAGCCCGGCGAACAGCTGCTGGTCGGAAGCTGCCATCATCCCACTGGCTACGGAGTGTATTGCGTCTCTCAGTGCGTCGTTCGCCTCCACCTCCTCGCTGAAAGCGTTCCTCCCAATCGCTGCGGGGCCGGTTCTGCCACTCACCCTGTTTAAAGAACCCCTCAGCGCGGAGGGGCGGAGGAAGAAGTGGAGCACCCCGATCCCACCCAGGCACATACAGGTAGTTGGGCGGCTCACTTTCTGCTTGTTGTTGCCGTCGTTGTTGTCCAGAGATAGAAGACGCCGAGGAGGAAGAAGAAGGTTGCTGCCAGCCCTGTTGTTGTTGCCACGTAGAGGAAGAAGACGCCGAAGAGGAGGAAGGTTGTTGCCATCCCTGAGCACCTTGACGACGACCACCAGCTGAACTCGAAGAGGACGGTTCTTGCCACGTAGACGCCGAAGAGGAGTGGTACCATCCCTGTTGTTGCCAGTAGTTGTCGTTGTTGTCGTAGTTTCCAGAGTCACCCCAACCTCCATTATAGCCCTGGTCGTCATTGGTGTGTGGCCAGGTAGCAGACGAGGAAGAGGCACCCCAGTGAGGGCCAGAAGGCGAGCTCCCCCAGTTGGTACCTTGCCTCCAACGTGGCCACGATGAAGAGGACTGCCAGTTTGCACTATTGTCCCCACCACTGTCACCCCACCTTGGTGCGTAGTCATTGCCATTGTCAGCGTCGTCTTGCCGTTGGCTGGCTGTCTCCCTACCATCCAACTTGTCCACCAAGGGCAGGCTCAGGCTGTGGTTCGTACCAGTTCCAGTCATCTGGCTGATCACCCCACTGGTGCCATTCTCCGCGCTGACGATCAGGCACTTGGTCACCCCACTGACTCCATTCTCCACGTTGGCGACGAGCGGGTTCTTGAGGAGGAGGTCGGCCATGCACCAGGCACCCCAACAGGGCCCAAAAGGCGGCAGCGGCAAGTGGAGCGAGGCAGCGGGCCATGTCGAGAAGGGTTCGGTGTTCGTTCACTAACTCAAGGAAAAGTTGTTGCGTCCCAAACAGGTAAAAGACTTCAATTTCATGCTGTACAAGGTATCATCCCGTGTGCATGTGCTTGAAGTAGTACAGAAGTGTAGCGCGGCTACTTGTTCACGGCTCGAGCTTTGCAGCTGCCCATTCAACCCGGGAAGAGCTTCACAAGGGCATTGGCAGAACTGTGCGGCACGATCACGAGCAACCTAGGCATCACAAAGAGCATCCTGACGACCCCTTGTCCAAGGAACATCCTTTCTTGCAAGCCAGGCAGGTAGCCAAGCTTTCCAACCCTCACGGTCTTGTGTTTGTTTTTTCCATTCGAGCCCAACGACTTCGGCGATGTCTCTTTCGCTGTTGTCGGCGTGGAACCGACGAGGGTGTCGTTTGCCTCCAATGAGTTTTTGCTCAGCCCTCCACCACTGCAAGGACCTCCACCCCATCATGAGCGACGGCATGCACACATCGTTGCCTTCCCGTCGACGACCCCAATGACCAAAAAGAGCCATCTGCAGTCGCAACACTTTCGTGCTCCACCTTTCGACGTTGTTGGCACAGATCCAATAGCGTAGGGTGCGAAGGCTACGTCGATTGTAGTCAACCCAGTTTTCTTCCACACCCCTGCGGATACCAAAGGCCAGTCGTTACAGGCGAAGTTGTGTTGAATTGAGCATCTGCAAGTCGTCCTTGGCCCAGTGTAGCGCCCCTGCTGTCCACGACCATGTCCCTTCGATGAGGCTGCGAATCATTTTGGCCTTCGCTGTCCAGCTGCCATGTCCACACAATATGACCTTATTAGCGTGGAAGGCATCCCAAATGCGACTCATCATCTCACGGCATTGCTGGCTAAGTCCGGCATCAAAGTCGAAGTCAACCCCCAAGACTCGCATAGATGACCCCGATACTTCAACATGGACCAGCTGCCCATCAACCTTGAGAGCGCGACGCCCCCGGTAGTGTTGATTGACGATGACACACGTCTTGGTGGCGGCGAGACACAACCCCAGGCGCTTCAACATGCTGGAGATGAGCTGAACATTCTTCTCGAGGTCATCCATGCGATCACCCCAGAGAAAGATGTCGTCCTGGAAGCAACCCACATCAACAGGAAGGTCTGCCAACTCATGTGTCGGAGCCTTCCAGTAGCTGCCAAAGCGGATGGTCTGGAGCTCATGCGCGATGATCTTGGGCTCTGGGGTCTACGCATGTGATATTCATCGCATAGATATCCGAAACCTCGCTCCCGGCCCAAAAATAAGCGACCGTTCCTGTGTTTTTTCAAC